CAATTTCTACGGTATGTATATTCGTAAGAATTCATTTTTCGATAATAATTGAAATTAATAAAAATAGAAAAAGACGGGCAAAATTGTCTCGAATACCTCAACTATTTTTAACGAGTGTAATGTCTCAAAGACCGCGATTGAGTTAACTAAAAATTGTTTGATCCTTGCGTTACTTGCTTTTATCAATTTCTACGGTATGTATATTCGTAAGAATTCATTTTTCGATAATAATAGAAATTAATAAAAATAGAAAAAGATGGACAAAATTGTCTCGAATACCTCAACTATTTTTAACGAGTGTAATGTCTCAAAGACCGCGATTGAGTTAACTAAAAATTGTTTGATCCTTGCGTTACTTGCTTTTATCAATTTCTACGGTATGTATATTCGTAAGAATTCATTTTTCGATAATAATAGAAATTAATAAAAATAGAAAAAGACGGGCAAAATTGTCTCGAATACCTCAATTATTTTTAACGAGTGTAATGTCTCAAAGACCGCGATTGAGTTAACTAAAAATTGTTTGATCCTTGCGTTACTTGCTTTTATCAATTTCTACGGTATGTATATTCGTAAGAATTCATTTTTCGATAATAATAGAAATTAATAAAAATAGAAAAAGACGGGCAAAATTGTCTCGAATACCTCAACTATTTTTAACGAGTGTAATGTCTCAAAGACCGCGATTGAGTTAACTAAAAATTGTTTGATCCTTGCGTTACTTGCTTTTATCAATTTCTACGGTATGTATATTCGTAAGAATTCATTTTTCGATAATAATAGAAATTAATAAAAATAGAAAAAGATGGACAAAATTGTCTCGAATACCTTAACTATTTTTAACGAGTGTAATGTCTCAAAGACCGCGATTGAGTTAACTAAAAATTGTTTGATCCTTACGCTACGTGCTTTTATCAATTTCTACGGTATGTATATTCGTAAGAATTCATTTTTCGATAATAATTGAAATTAATAAAAATAGAAAAAGATGGACAAAATTGTCTCGAATACCTTAACTATTTTTGTGACTATTTTTAACAACCGTAGGTTCAATTAAAAATTGTTTGATCCTCAGGTTGTACTAAGTGGAGCATAGAGAAAATTTATGATTCGAGGGGTATAACTTTAAATTCATACCTCGTCTTATACCGAGCGTAACTTGACGGGAATACGTACCGCGACATAAAACTTAAATCGCGATAATTCTTCACACGTTTTTGACAGTATCCGTAACTTTATTATACATGAAATTTTATGGATCTGCTTCCCGTGCATTAAAGATATCCCAAAGTATAGAATTATCTTCATGTCCCCGCTTTAACCAGATATTGTTATTCTATCTATAATGGACGGACAACGAATGGATGGTTTTTGTCTGGTTCGAATTTCTTAAGAAACTTCCCACGGATTACGTTTTCCTTCTTTTTCTTTACAATGTTATTGGCTAGTAGGATGCATCAACTTCCGGCGAAGCGAGGTGCTCCAAGTTGAAGTGGCACAGTTATGAGGATACGTGGGGTAGTTCCGACGAATTTCTCCGGATTGCTGCACGGAAAATCTCTTTCGTAATTGCAAATCCGCGGAAGCCACGTTTAACAGTTTGTACTGACCTTTCTTCGGCCACTAGTGCCCTAACGAAGACCATACTTCGTCTTCCGGAACTATATTCGAGCACTTAACTGGTCAAGATTTTCACAATTGGATGGGCACGTGAAAATATTCATTGTTCCCCAAACAATTGTTTCAATGGAACCTATTGAATGTTCAAATAAGAGAACCTTTTATTCTCGTACACGTCATATTTGTTATTCGACGTTTGTATTCAGTAGTAGGTATGGCAAAAAATATTTTTAACAGTTCTAAAATTTCTTTAAAATTTTTTCGGAGAAATTTCCATTTTGGCGTTTCGTTTTGCTCGACATATTTTTTTTTTGAGAGAGAACAGGAGATTCTCGTCAAAAAACACGATGATTTTGGATTTACGGATGGTTGGAGTTTTAATTTTGCATACGATAATAGTTGTTTAAACGATAAATGTACCGAAAATGTCGCGTTTAATATTAGTGTTTTTACTGTATATAGCTTCGATGGAATTTTATGCTGATTCAACGAAAACATACGACTGTTCGGAGCCCCGCGTTTAACTCGAAGACGAGAAATCGCTAGCTTTTATGAATCACTATATTTTCCCAGACGTCGCCATTCAACGTTCTCTTTCGCTGGGGTTTTTCTCCGATGTCGATATGAAATCGCTTACAAAATTGTAGCAAAGTAATTCGTTTACAAAAACAAAACAAAAGTTGACAATAAAACAATTAGAAAAAATGAATTTATATACAGGGTGTTCGGCCACCTCTAGCAAAAAATTTAATGAGCGATAGTAGAGGCCAAAATAAGACGAAAATCAAGAATACCAATTTGTTGATGGAAGCTTCGTTAAAAAGTTATTAACGTTTAAAGTGCCGCCCTTACTGAATTTTTTTCTCGAAAATGCGCAAGATTTCGGGGGTATGTCTATTCACCAAAAATGACTGTAATTGAACCCTACAACCGAAAATAATTTTTCCACAACGATTTGTAATTTTTTAATTTTCTCGAATAATTTCACACCTTCTCTATTTTTTTTCTCGAAAGTGGACAGTATTTCGTGGGTATGTCTAATGACCAAAAATGATTATAATTGACCCCCGCAACCGAAAATAATTTTTCCACAACGATTTGCAATTTTTTTTCTCCGTTGAAAAATTTAGGCACCTAATTGGATTTTCAGTAAGGATTTTTTTTCTCGAAAGTGCGTACAATTTCGGAGGTATGTGTAATGATAAAAAATGATTGTAATTGATCCCCGCAACCGAAAATAATTTTTTTAGAACGATTTGAAAAATTTTTTTTCGCCGAAAAATTTCAGCACCTACTCGATTTTTTTTCTCGAAAGTAGATAGGATTTCGGAGGTATGTGTACTCACCAAAAATGATTGTAGTTGACCCCCGCAACCGAAAATAATTTTTCCAGAACGATTTGAAATTTTTGAATTTAATTGTTAATAACTTTTTAACGAAGCTTCCATCAACAAATTAGTATTCTTGATTTTCGTCTTATTTTGGCCTCTACTATCGCTCATTAAAATTTTTGCTAGAGGTGGCCGAACACCCTGTATAAAATCAATAAATATCTAGTCAATTAAGGGGCTCGTACGTAACCGCGACAGTATGCATTAAAACTTGACCTCAAATTATTTTTCGTTGTGACACGAATATGAACGAACGTTTACATCGCAGAAATGATGGATGAATAGTATGAAACGTTGGACAGCGTAAAAATAAAGAAAGCATTTGCACACACGTATTCAATTACTGAGTGAAACCAAATATATATAAATAACATTTACTATTTTATTCTATTATCAGTTTAACGACTTCGATTCACAGACTGAATTTCGATCGGTGAAACCATTAATATATCTATTTTCATTAGATAGATTTATTTCCTGCTTCCCCTTAGGGTTACACTTCCTCCCCACCTTACATTTCCATCTCTCCCTTAACCTAACTTATCCTACTTATATCTATTTTCATTATAAAATTAAGAAAAAATTTAATACCAGTATTATTCATGGTTTTTTTTCATAAATTCAATCAGTGGATTAGTTACTTTCATTCACAAAAATATGTGTAATAAAATATATTTTTTATGTTTAGAACATAATTTTCATTGTTTCATTGTTTCAAATATATTTTTTAAACGAATAACGAATGCAAATCTGAAAAGTTTTAAAAAAGTCTGATTAACGATTGTAAATGATGCTGTCCTATCGAAACGCGTCAAGTAGAAATTATAGGTTAGGTCTGGGTTTTATTCTATTAATTATCAGTTTAACGAATTCGATTCATAGACTGAATTTCGATCGGTTAAACGATTAAAATATCTATTTTCTTTATGAAATTAAGAAAAAATTTAATACCAGTATTATTCATGGTTTCTTTTCATAAATTCAATCAGTGGATTAATTACTTTCGTTCAGGAAAATATGAATAATAAAATATATTTTGTATGTTTAGCACATAATTTTCATTGTTTCATTGTTTCAAATATATTTTTTAAACGAATTACGAATGCAAATCTGAAGAGTTTTAAAAAAGTCTGATTAACAATTGTAAATGATGCTGTACTATCGAAACGCGTCAAGTAGAAATTATAGGTTAGGTCTGGGTTTTATTCTATTAATTATCAGTTTAACGAATTCGATTCACAGACTGAATTTCGATCGGTTAAACGATTAAAATATCTATTTTCTTTATGAAATTAAGAAAAAATTTAATACCAGTATTATTCATGGTTTCTTTTCATAAATTCAATCAGTGGATTACTTTCATTCACAAAAATATGAATAATAAAATATATTTTGTATGTTTAGCACATAATTTTCATTGTTTCATTGTTTCAAATATATTTTTTAAACGAATTACGAATGCAAATCTGAAGAGTTTTAAAAAAGTCTGATTAACGATTGTAAATGATGCTGTACTATCGAAACGCGTCAAGTAGAAATTATAGGTTAGGTCTGGGTTTTATTCTATTAATTATCAGTTTAACGAATTCGATTCACAGACTGAATTTCGATCGGTTAAACGATTAAAATATCTATTTTCTTTATGAAATTAAGAAAAAATTTAATACCAGTATTATTCATGGTTTCTTTTCATAAATTCAATCAGTGGATTACTTTCATTCACAAAAATATGAATAATAAAATATATTTTGTATGTTTAGCACATAATTTTCATTGTTTCATTGTTTCAAATATATTTTTTAAACGAATTACGAATGCAAATCTGAAGAGTTTTAAAAAAGTCTGATTAACGATTGTAAATGATGCTGTCCTATCGAAACGCGTCAAGTAGAAATTATGGGTGATAATTTGTTTAACAGGGAGCCGTATGACGTTCGGAAATGCGCAAACTGGTGAGCAGAAATCATCTTCAATGGACCGGGGGTAAGCGCCATGGCGAACCAAACGGCCAATTATTATGGGGACGTTTATCAATGGAATCGTACGTTATCGACGGACGACCAAGACACGCAGATGGAATATTACCTACCGAATTGGACGGATCTCTTTCTGGCCGGACTGTTCACTATGTTGATCATCGTCACAATAGTAAGCCACAATTTCACCCTCGGACGACCGCGTGTTTACGGTTGTTACCGCTGCAATTTCAAAGCCTTCTAAGAGATTTCACCACCATTTTGTACATCGAACGGCTCTTCGACGGCGTTAGATAAAAAAAACGCAACAACACCTTTAAAAGGAAATCTTTAAATATTGTCGGCAAGCTTTTCCAATATTTCAAAGTAAAAAATATTTATTTACAAATGATTCTTTTGAGGGCAATAAATTACAGATCTACTCATATTTATGATTTTTGTAACGCTTCTCGATAATTTTAATACGTCCAGCGAGACTGAATTGGTTAATAAATATATAATTTTCAAAATTGCTTGGAGATAAATTGTTGATATTGTTATCGTCGATTGGCGACCTTTTCTCGAGTAAAACTTTTCAAATGTATGTTGAAGAATGAATTGTTTTTTTTATTACAGTTCGATGTGTAACACGATAATTGCAATATTTTTTGTTTCAACACAGGTAGGCAATACTTTGGTAATTGCCGCTGTGGTGACAACTAGACGCCTAAGGTCCGTTACTAATTGTTTCGTATCCAGCTTGGCCGCCGCGGATTTATTGGTCGGCTTGGCCGTGATGCCACCGGCAGTACTATTACAGGTATATAAACGACGTTATGTCAGAACGACCGGAAATATAGAAAGTTTCACGCACGAAACACCGTGAACTGGCCGATATCTGTCCATTACTTACAATCGCGGATGAACAAGTTCGAGAATTGCTTATTAAAGCTCCATGGAAAGCCAACGATTCGATTTGCAAGATAAGTGTCACGATATTTCATTTGAGTCTGTTGCTCGAAGGACAAACAATTTCAAACTAAAATTCATTATCAAGCGATGTGTACACTGCATAGCATAACTATAGCATCACTGACATTTTTAAGATCCTGTATCCACCATTCAGGTAAAAGTACATAAAGACCGTTTTTTTTACAGAGAAACATAATAAAAATCAGCTAAATTAAAACAAAAATTCGAAGAAGGTTTTCAGAAATTCTATTCATTCAAATTATAACTAAATCGTATGATTATAATTTAATATTGTTATTACGTTATAATTAATCTTATAGGCGTGCACCTGTAAATTGTCATATCTTGTCTTGAATAAACGTTATGTTCGCCCTTTTCTCGTTACTATAATTTCATTTTAGCCTGATTCAATTACTACTCCGAAACTCTCGAAAATTTTAGTGGTGATATAATTATGCTCCGCAATGTGTATTGCTGTAATAATATAGTCAAAGTCCTTTTCCCCTTGAAAACTATATTCATTTTGAGTATTTTCTGTTTTTACCAATTTTAAGTTTTAACCAATTCAGCAAAATAATACAAATATTAAGATCTGATAGTAAACGAATTAATGGTTTATTATACGAAGTATTTTAACCAATAGATTATTTGCGACTCAATCTATATCGAAATGAAAATTGTATACAGGGTGTCCCCTACAACCAGGAAAGGTTATATTTTAAAAAAAATACGGCAAAATTAAATGGAACGGTGTGCAAACTGGATGCAATTTTATACATCGATGCATCTAAAAAAGGCAATCATTTTTAAAAATTTTATTTTAATTAAAACAGTTACGAGTGTTTTCTAGCATGAAACGTGTTTTTTTTTTTTAACTTTCTTTGAGAATTTTTTGCAACGAAACTATAATGTCTTCTGCGATCGAATTTACAAGGTTTATTTATTTTTGAATAACGTTCTTTTTTTTACAATTTATTTGAAAAATTTTATTGGAATACGAATTTTGGTTGGACATCGTAAGAAACGTTCAGTTAATCCGCTTGGGAACGTCCGTTCCGAAGTCAAATTCGTCGCGTGGATAAAATACGATACGCTGGTCGTTGACAAAACACAAGCGAATTTAGGCGAGTTTAGCTAATCCGCGGAGGGGTATCTGCTCTTTGTGCGTCTGGACGTTGCCTAGGGGAGGTTTCCTCTAATATCCGCGTTCTATACGTTCACTTATTTATGGTTCACATTGCCACGCGAGACGATACTTTCAAAAACTTCGTGCTTTGTAAAATGAGCAAGTGAAACGTTCTGTAATTATCGAAAACAATGAATTCGTACATATATACCTAATAATAGAAATTTACACTACATCGACCCGAATACTTTACACCGAAAATCGGTGAATTTCTATTTGTTTTCTCGATGCATCTGACATTTGTTCCGCGTACGACGAATCGTCACGTGACAATTACCATCATTGATCCCTCGGTTCTTCTTCGACGACGAAGAGCAATTTTGCATATAGATTAAAGCTGAGTCGGGGCATAATGAATGCTCCCAGATACGTCGCGATTCTGCAACTGAGTCCTACGGGGACGATTCGTAATCTCTCTTAACCCCCAATTGAATTTATTACTATCCGTTACTTATGGGGATTACAAATCCAAATATATGATTTAAGCTACGATAGCGAGGATGCTTAAGAATTTTTCTCTGCTTAAAATTTTGTTTTTTTTTTTTTTTTTGCAATTTAATCATCAATACGTTACATTAATTTTCTGTTTCGCTTGTGCACAAATTTAACCACTTCAATTTAATCACTTCAAATTTATTTAAAATATTTCCAATTTCTTAAATATTCCAATACTTTCTGATACCATTTGCCACCTTTTTGCCAAGTTTCGGATTCCAACGCCGAAATAATCAAATTGGTTAGTATTAGAACAGAGAATTCCATCGATAAAAAGTGATTGTATTTGAATTTTTAAAACGAGAAACTAGAACTTTTGTTTAACAAGAACAAACTCTATTCCTCGTAGAAATTTCCCGCGAAACGTATATTAACTGAAAATTGAAAATTGCAACGTGTACGAATAATAATTGCACAGTGGAAAAGACCCGGTTGCAATATAATTAAAAATGGTCAGCAAAAACTATTTAAAAAACTATACATTTTCTTGCACCGTTAGAATATTTAAGTGATGATTTCTTACCGTGTAAATAAATTCGAATATAATTTTATTTCGTAGCGAAAGTTTCGGGTAAATGAATTACGTGTCCCTCAGTTAGCTTTAACGATTTCCGTGCACGGCTCTGCGTTTATGCGAATAATATGCGCCGTACAATCACCTACACTGGGGTCCAGCATTGAAGCGTTCCCGTAATCGCCTTTCGCAGCCTGTCGTTCACAGTGTATCTCTTGTAATTATTATCCTCCACGCTTGGATGCATTATTTCAACCAGTACGGTTATCGAATCGTACGCTCTCGAAAATTCTGACGCAAGCGGGCAATTTTGTAACGGCTTAGAAATCTCTGTTAAAGGGGTGGCATTTCACCTTTCGTTTAACACCAAACCTGCGCGTACTTCTAATTTTCGCATTATACGCACAGAAAGTGGTGTTTTTTAAATTTGTTCGTAAGATATCCCCTTTTATGTCGCATAGTTTCTCTTAACACTAGATTCACGGGCATTGATCGCGCGTATATTTACTGATACCTTTCACGTTGACGATTACCTTACAATACGATTTTTCTTTTAATTAGAATATGTATTCGTGCCATTGCATCGATCAAATTCAACATAAGTTGTTAAAAACTAATATTTACGTAGTAAATCTAGTGTTAAAGCATGAATTCCAAGAACCTGTACGAAAATATTCAATACTTTCACTCTGAATGTGCAGTAGTACTTTAACTTAGGTACAGAAAATGTACAAACTACATTTTACTAAACAACTTACTAAATTTTGTAATTTTCATCGGATAGGAGATAAAACGCCCTTGAAAACGAATTTCGTTTCACCGTGGTTACTTCCGGGGAGAACAATTATTTACGAACAAATGGCATAGTAATTATGCAAACACCCTGTATACGAACGTAAATTCATTTTCAATTGAATAAACGATTTATGATCCCGTTTTATCGTACACTAGTCGTACGATCAATAGGAATTGCTGATACTTATTTGGGTATGTAGCGTGCAAATAAATATAGAAGATGGTATAAATTATAATAGGTAATATATTCATAGAGGATGAAATCCCCTTTAAAATGGGCGTTCGAACGAGACGATAACTCAACTAGTTCCGGAGATATAGCGATTTTAGTTTCAAGTCGATGCGGTGGCTAGTCACGGAGATACGAGGCTTCGAAGTTTGTTTACGTTTCAATGACGCGAGGTGAATGACCGCGCGCGCGTAGATAGTAAACAGTGCGTGGTAAATTCTTGGAATCCTTTACATAAATTACGATATCTCGAAAACGGAAAGTCGGATCGACAAAAACCAAAAACCATTTCAAAGGGGATGGTTTACCGCTTCCAACGATGGCTCAATAATGGAGAAAATACTAAGAATTTCGAAACTGCACGTAATTCAAATTTTAGTAATTTCAATACGCGTTAGTAGTCTGTTTCAACACGGAAAGAGCCATAACAGAATTTTAAAAAGTCAAAAATCATTATTACAATTTTTGCAAAATTTGGGTATTGCAATTGAACAGCGCGCGGAGGCAATACAGGAGGAAAAGAATGAACGGCGCTTAAACGAATCCCAAATGGATAGATCCAAACAGAAACGAATGAATAGAAACATCGTATCAATTCCTGCTGGAAGTTAAATGCGTTTTTCTCGAAATCTTGTTTTCGTTTCATTTTGCAGTAATTGCAAAAAAACAGAGGTCCAGATAAACATGAAATTTCTTTTGCACACGTAGAAAATGTTCCTTCGTGTACCGAGCGTCGGTATGAACCTGCAAAAAGTTTTAGTTTCCAGGAAACAATTTATAGGACAAGTTTTTTACATTAAAATCTCTATTTCCCGTATTTAATGCGTTGGTTTCATAATTTTGATGTTCGTTAATATTTAAATAGGTTCAGTGCAAAGCAGGGATTTGGTACATTCGATGCGCTTCATTTGGGGAAGAGAAATCGCTGCAAAATAGAAATAATTTCTATTCGTTTGACAAGATTTTGCAATAAAAATATTTTAAGCTACCAAAACATCGTGTAGAAAGGAAATTATTTATACCTAACCGTTTATTTTTTTAGTAAGCCCTTACAAAAAGGCTCAATCTGACTGCCCGGTTCTGATAATTCGAAACCATACTTTCGTGGCTCAGATGTACTTTTATCCACAATTATTTTCCGTAGAAAAGTATTAAAACTTACGAGGGCCACGGTGGGTCCAGTAGAATATGATTTCGAAATAAAAAGATTTGAACCCCCGCTGGAAATAACTGAGGGACGCGCGCCAGTTTGTTTTCTTTTGCTAGATTTTTCGCAATTTTAAGAGGCACCCTGTCTACGCCAAGTAGGATGTCTAATGAAACGAATTTGACAAAGCTCACAGGTGGTACTTGGGAATTAGGCGAAGTGCTCTGCGTCTCCTGGGTTTCCCTCGACATCCTCCTCTGTACTGCCAGCATTCTCTCATTATGCGCTATATCCATAGACAGGTAAGTAGTGTCGCCCGTTTTCGAATCGCGGCACGTAAACGGAACGAGATAGGTTTTAAATAAACTACCCCATCGGGCAACCTAACTGTCCCCCGGTGCGAGTTTCCCGTTTCGTCGGCGAGAATTTTGACGACGAGAGATTGCTGGAAAGTTTACGGGGAATTAACCGGGACAGCCGGAACGTCGTTTCTCCCGCAAATTAACTCGCCGAACACGTTCCCTCTTTTTCCTGTCCCCGCGTTTTGTATCGATCTGTGGTTAACCGGACGAACGGTCGTCACGTAACCCGAAAATTAGAAGTTCTCAAACGAACGTCTCCATGGATTCTTACGTTTCGCCATTTTGGTTGCAACGTGTTTCTAAATAAAAAAATAACGACATCGGAAAGTATTAGAAGACTCAACGGTATTTACGAGGGTCGTTCAATAAGTCCTTAGAAAAAAATAGAAAAACAAATTATTTTAGGTAGATTTTTTTGTTATTCTTCAACATAATCTCCTTTTAGCTCTATACACTTTTCCAAGCGTTTCTCCAACTTCGTTAAGTCATCTAAAAAAGTAAGATTTCGGAAGGTCTTCGAAATAGGCATCTGTTTAGGCGGTGACCTCCTCGTTCGACATGAACCATTGTTCACCGAGTCATTCTTAAAAATCTGGAAATAAAAAAAAGTCACTGGGGGCCAAATCCGGTGAATACGGTGGATGTTGGAATAATTCGAACTTTAATTGCATGATTTTGGCCATCGAAACTGCACAGGTCTGCACCCGTGCGTTGTCTTGATGGAAGAGGATCTTTTTCGTTTTCAAATTAGGACGTTTTTCCTTGATTTCTTCGCTCAACCGGTGCAATAACCACGCATAATACTCTCCACTTATTTATTTTCCTTATTCCAAGTAATCTGTGTAGATGATTCCGCATGCATCCCAAAAAACTGTGGCCATCACCTTGTCGGCCGATTTCATCGTCTTCGCCTTCTTCGGAGCCCGTTTTCGTCTTCAAAAACCCACTGTTTTGACTGTTCCTTGGTCTCTGTAGAGTAGTAGTGTATCCACATTTCGTCCACAGTTATTTATCGACGCAGAAACCTGTCAGGATTGCGGCGAAAAAGCGCCAAAACAGCCTCAGAGTCGACCATACTGAGAGCAAACGCGGCAGCCATCTTTCCGAGATTTCTTTCATACCCAATTTTCCGTGCAAAATTGAAAACACTGTACCTTGCGATATGCCTGTGGCCTCGACTATTTCACGCACTTTGGTTCGTCGATCACTCGAAACCATATCGTGGATTTTGTCAATCATTTCGGGGGTAGTTACTTCCACTGGACGTCCCGAACGACGTTCATTATTTTTGGATGTACAACCACGTTTAAACTCATTTGCCCAATTGTAAATAGTTACAAACACAGGTACAAATGTGCCATGAACTTCGTCCAACTCAGCTTTGATCTCTTTCGGTGTTTAATCACCGCTCGAAACTCACTTTTTTCCATTTTTCTAAATAAGCAAAAGTTTCTTGCTCCAATGGACACCAAAAATGAAATCGTATGGTGGATATAACTGAGAATTTTATAGCTGTCTAATGAGTCATGTGCATTGTCTTGATGCAAGAGGAAGTTTCTTGCTTCGATCGACAATAAAAATGATACCATGTGGTGGGTATATCTGAGACTTTGACAGCTGTCTAATGAGTCATGATGCTTACTAAAAACATTTTCTAAGGACTTATCGAACGATTCTCGTACAATTCAAACGAGACGAGGGGACGAACGGTTCACCAGTTTGGATAAATCGACTTTAACGGAAATGCGTTTAATGTTGATCGATTATTAAATGAATAACAATGGAGTTTGCTTAGTTATCATAACCAATACGCCCCAGGAAATGTATAATTAACCTTCCACGGCAAATGTTGCGTCCACGTTAACAATCCACCCTTGTTTTCGTAATGATCTATCCTCGTGTGTCAACGATCGCCCTTTCGAGTCAGCGGCGGATCATGCGGTGGGCATCCTCCTCGTCGTGTTTTGCAGCGATTGAACCAATTTTGATATCTAAAGTCATTATAATCGCTAGCAAGTGTCTAGCTCCGTCTTCGACGCCCAAGAAAACAGCAATTTTGTGCTCGTAATTGTTTTACTGTCAAAATTTCAATGTCAATTTTCAAGTCGACTGCTTTAATTTCTCCTCCAGATTCTGTCCACGCGAAATTAACGAAATAAAATGTTTCATAGTTTTTGTATTATTTTTATAGAGTATTTCCTTCAATGGGCTACACGTTCTTTTTAAACCATCGATCGTTGCTATTAAATTGTAATAGCACAAGTTTGAGGCCCAACTCTTCAGAAAACGCAATCAACAAATCGATTATTCGTCCAACCCTGCATTAATTTTCCGTTCTCCGTGAAGTTAATTTCATAGTAATTATATTATTATTGGAAAGCTCGCTATTACGTCCCGAAACCCTCCAGCTTTGTCACCGCCTACCAATTCTTCCGTGTCGCAATTATGTTCTAAATTACGTTTCTTATAAAGACAATCTCCTCGTAACTTCGGAACTTTCTGATTTAATACCTAAGAATATTAAAGTTTCTATCAGAAGTTAATAACAGTTTCAATTTTGTCGATCAATTATCAGAGATTTATGTATTATAAGATTTCTTTACCCTGTGATCCTCTGATGGGTCACTAGACAGTCAAAGTGATGGGTTAAGTTAAGCTTACGATTCTTTTAACAGATTTTAATGATCCGTAAGATCGTTGAGTTTGATTTTTATTTTGAAAATATTAAAGTTTCTGTCAGAAATTAATAACAGTTTCGATTTTGTCGATCAATTACCAGAGATTCACGTATTATAAGATCCCTTTACCTTGTGATCCTCTGATGGGTCATTAGACAGTCAAAGTGATAGGTTAAGTTAAGCTTGCGATTCTTTTAACAGATTTTAATAATCCGTACGATCGTTGAGTTTGATTTTTATTTTGAAAATATTAAAGTTTCTGTCAGAAATTAATAACAGTTTCGATTTTGTCGATCAATTACCAGAGATTCACGTATTATAAGATCCCTTTACCTTGTGATCCTCTGATGGGTCATTAGACAGTCAAAGTGATAGGTTAAGTTAAGCTTGCGATTCTTTTAACAGATTTTAATAATCCGTACGATCGTTGAGTTTGATTTTTATTTTGAAAATATTAAAGTTTCTGTCAGAAATTAATAACAGTTTCGATTTTGTCGATCAATTACCAGAGATTCACGTATTATAAGATCCCTTTACCTTGTGATCCTCTGATGGGTCACTAGACAGTCAAAGTGATAAGTTAAGTTAAGCTTTCGTTGCTTTTAACAGATTTTAATAATCCGTACGATCGTTGAGTTTGATTTTTATTTCAGGTATCTAGCCATAACTCAGCCGTTGATATACAGCCGACGACGTCGAAGCAAAAGACTGGCTGGCTTGATGATCGTCGTGGTATGGATTCTCGCGGGCGCCATAACCAGTCCGCCATTGCTGGGCTGCTTTCCGAGCGCGACGAATCGCGACAGTAAAAAATGCTCGTACAACATGGATTCCTCATACGTGATATTCTCAGCGATGGGTTCCTTTTTCCTACCGATGCTGGTCATGCTTTACGTTTACGGCAGGATATCGTGCCTGATCGCGAGCCGCCACAGAAACCTGGAGGCCACCGGAAACGAGAACATCCAACCGCGTCGCAACGTTCTGGTATAAATACTCCAAACGATACATCGTTTTCATAATCTTATTTTCGACTATTCTGCCCTATTTGATTCTCGATCCACCGATTCTTGGCTTGAAAGTATCGTTAAAGTTCTTCTCCTTCTGTTCTCACTTTACGGTTTCGTCGTATTTCCGAAAATGAACCCCAAAGTGAACGGTCATCGCGATCGACACAATAGAGAACGTACAGACGACTCTAATGGATCTATTAACGGAATTGCCCGAAGAAGATTCCGGTCTTCTCGCGAAGAATAGAAACAACGTTACAGCAATTGCGTCGCTTTTGAAGGCAGTCGCTTTGAAGTAAATCGAAACGTATCTCGCGAGTCTCTATCCTCTTTCCCAACCGGACATTTTTCCTAAACTCTAGGTAGAAGGTTTCGCTTAAAATTTCATAAACCTCTCAACGATAACACGAAATTCTTAATCATTCGACACGTTCGATATCAGTTTTCTCTGTGCACGGATATTCTCGAAATTTATTCAAATTATAGAAATAAAAATATCCAATGGTTGGAGTACTTGTTATTTTGTAGTATTTCTAACGGCAATGATATTATTACAAAATATATACGCAATCAATTTGATAATAAAAGCTTTTGAAATAGTACTCGTCCTGTCTCCGTAGAACTAACAATATCTGTATGTACAGGGTGAACGCGTGACAAAAATATGTCGAAAATGTGAAATAAAATTTGTTCGTAGGATGCTTTGTTTTCGAGAAAATCGACTTTGCAATAATTTCGCGCAGATCAAACGGGCAAAGAGCATCAGGGTCCGAAAACCTGAATGCGTGGCCGGCAGTGTGGCCTGCGAGAGGACTTCCGACGATACGGATCCACCGACCACGAGCAAAAAGTCAGGGATCGTTCGAAGTCATCAGCAGAGCTGCATCAACAGAGCGGCCAAAGAAACAAAAACAGCTGGAACTTTGGCGGTGGTAGTGGGTGGATTCGTGGCGTGTTGGTTACCGTTCTTCATTCTCTATTTGGCCACGCCGTTCGTGCCCATGGATCCACCGGATGTACTGATGCCAGCGTTAACGTGGCTAGGTATTAATAAACGTTTCAATTTCATTGCCACGCAAACTGACACGAATACATTCGAATTTACAAGAAACATTATAGTGCGTTCTATACAGTTTTTATTTTTTGAAATTGTGTTCATGTAATGGTTACAGAATAAATGAGCCGTTTATTTTGAAAGTGGCCTAAGTCCATTTATCTTCAAATCGAGATATTTAAGGGTTTGCGTTTCAATGTATTTAAAAATATACGTATAGGATACTAATAGTCATACTGCTTAAGTGTATCTAAGGGTGTTAAATTTATAGTTCCTATTAAAATACTGGCAATTATTAAGTGAATAATATGCGTTTTCTTATCAAGAATGGAGTTAGGCCACATTCAAAATTAACAACCAGATTCATTATAAAATTTGAAGGTGCCCAAGTCCATTCAACATAATTTAAGATGCTTCAAATTGAAAAAAACAATACTGAATTTATTTTACATATCTTTAAAACTCCAATTTCTTGGCGAACCTTTTCCGTTTGTTGGACGTCTTCGTTCCACATTTTTGCGCTCGACAGCTTCGTAAAGCAATACATTTTGTTTGTTAAAATCTCCCAAACCCCAAAACTTCTCAAAAATATTCTTTCAATCTTCTTCGTCGTAATTTTTTGTGCAAGCATTCCGACAACGGCAATCTTTGTTTCCGAAAATTTTTTCAGGTACAATATTTCCGGTTTGAGTACAATATCTTTTTCCTGAATTCCGTTTAATCTTTCGCACTTTTTGGATGTATGATTCATCAATCTTTTCTCCATTGTTATTCGTATCTTCATCCCCTGAAGACGAATATTGTTCTATAATTCGTTTCTTTTTCGATTTTTTTTTAAAATCATTAGTTACTATTTCTTCTTCACTATCTGAACTAAATAGTCTTGTTCTGTTCTTCCCCAAGGATGAAATAATTTCTAAAATTTAATATTAAATTTTACGTTTTATATTAATTAAACGTACTGGTTATTCAACTAACGCAATTGTCCAAAAACTGAGGTTAACTTGTAAATACTAATTAATTAAAATTACCTTCATCACTGCTTTCCGACATTATCAATAGTAAATATCTCGATTTAAGTATAAATGGAGTCAGGCCACTTTCAAACTACACGGTTCAATTATTGAACTAACTCTGAAAACTTATGTGTCAAGAATTATCGTATTTGCTCGGAATATAAGCAACCTGAAATGCTTTACTGATAAATAACATGAAGTTGTACATGTAACCATGGTAACCGGAAAAAATTGAAAAATGGAGTTAGGCCACTTTCAAAATAAACGGCTCAAATGTCCATTTTTGAAGCTCATTTAAATTTTTCCAATCGAACAAAGATCGTTTAACCCTTAAGTGGACTCTCGATCTTAACGTTGATTTTTACCAAATTGGTAAATGGAAATCGACTTTCCTTTAAAGCATTTAAAGAATAATTAAATTGACATATATTAAACAATTATTAGTTTAAACTTGCGGAGGACCGCAGCAGCCCCAATAATCCACTTAAGTGATAAAATAAAAATTAATAGTTATTCCTAAAATTTAACATTTTTAATTTTTATTTTTGGAAATTATTGTGCTTTAATGCGATGGTTGAAGAATAAGTCACCTGTCCATTTTTGCAGCTCATTAAAATTTTTACTATCCATAAACGTGTTAACAAAGTTCTTTCCAATCGAACGTGGATCATTTAAAACCAAAAATGATAATTGTTCCTAAAATTTAACATCTCCATTTTCTCACAGTCTTCTCATATGTGTAGGTTAAATGAAAATGAATATGTTAAAAATTAAAAATATTTAATTATAATTTTGGTTGTAATTTCAGGGTGGATAAATTCAACATCTCTAGTGTTTTTTTATTTAAATTATTATGTACTTTAATGTGATGGTTGAAGAATAAGTCACCTGTCCATTTTTGCAGCTCATTAAAATTTTTACTATCCATAAACGTGTTAACAAAGTTCTTTCCAATCGAACATGGATCATTTAAAACCAAAACTGAATATGTTAAGAATTGAAAATATTTAACGATTACAATTTTGGTTGTAAATTGCAGGGTGGATAAATTCGGCCATAAATCCGTTTATCTACGCTTTTTATTCGGCCGACTTCAGACTGGCGTTCTGGCGACTGACCTGCCGGAAGTGCTTCAAGAGCAGAACTAATTTGGATCGCAGCAATCGGAAATTACCGACTCCGGCTAATTGGAAGAAGGAAGCATCGCGCACGTGAAGATCGAAGGACGAATACGAGGATCCTTCCGATCGTTGTGATCGAGCCAGTAGGCCACTGTGATTTACCTAAGAGTACGGACTCTCGCGTGTCGAAAGCGAAAAAAAAAAGGAATTTGATTAATTAGTATTAAGACACCAATCTCACTCACCGAACTTCGAAACCACGCGAATTCTAACGAACGTTACGAAACATATTTTACAATTGGAAACAGCCGAACGGGGCACAGCATTTACGAAACACGAATACTTTTATTATTCGAACGATCTTCGTTAACACCTATTAATATTTTATTATTTCACGAGAACAATTGTTATCAGTTGTTAATGCGTCTCTGTCTAAAACATGGTTTTAAAATAAATTTACAATAAACATACTTTAACTATTCTCTCGTGGATTACTATGCTCTCTAATCGTTAATTGTGCATTACGAAGCATTTTAGAGATTTCCACCGTTACGAAACCAATTAGACCATAAATATTCAAGCGTATAATTTTTCGAGACACTATACATATGCACGATGAGGGCCAAGTTTTGTAACTGGTATGATAAACTGAATATCTGCTTCCTCCGAGTGTTGCTTACTCTTTCATTTTTACAAAAGAAATTAAAGCCACCAAAGTCAAATCGAACTAACGAAAAAGATTTTAATTATGCTTTTAATAAATACAAAGTACAACATTAATTTTCATACTAGTTAAATAATTATTTCTTGCATAAAAGCAGCTAGAACAATTATCAAAACCATAATTATTAATGTATATTCATTATTGAATCTAAATTGGTTCCAGCAAATTTGTTTGCAATGTTGCTAGTTTTGTAATTGCTACTCATAAGAAATAGAAAAATTATTGAGTACTTACTGCACTTGGGGCAAAGTCATTTTTACAAAAACTTTTTGTATTCTCAGATTTATGCGATTTGTCTACAACATTTGGTTGATTGACAAGCATGGCTAAGTCTGAAGCCTCGAGCTTTTGCACTGTGGCCTTCCGATTGGTTGTTCTTTGATTCAACACTGAAATGATAGCAATTTGAATTGAAAAAATATTAATGAAATCTGTACCTTGTATTAACTCTTTTTTAGATTCGAAAACAGAAATATTAGTAATTTATCCTTATGTTAGCATAAAATAATAAACGAAGAAGTACAAAAATATAGAAAACAGAGGTTCCAGAATTTGATTTATTTTTGTTGTTAAAATATATAAAGCCATTGTAAAATGTTATTAACTGAAGAAGTAAATAGACTGTAAGACATTGTTTATATCAAAAGAACCCTGTTTAGGTACATTTGTTAAATTTTTTTTTATTTTAATCATGGCTTCTTCTTCCATCTTCAGATTCCTGAAGTAATTAACTTTAGATTAATATTTTTACTGTGCCAATTTTATTTAAATATTTAGAAATAACATTATTAATTAAAAATTCGATTTTTTTATTCTGAAATAACATTTTTAATAAAAGATTCGACGATTCTAAATTATATTATAATACGATATTGGCATTGTAAAACTGAAATAAAAATTAAAAAATATTAATCTTTTATAAAACCAATTAAAACAATTTAAATAATTCCGTAAATATTGGTTACGGGTAAATTGGTCTGTAATGTTGAACGAAAAACTTTGCCAAATTCTCGAGGATCGATTCAGTATGGAGAGCAACAAATTGTTCTCTGCAAATCTATAAAAGTTACAAACTCAATTTTATCAAAATTCGATTAGCGTTCTGAAAAATTTCAAATTTTTTTTATTAGAACCAAGGACACGAATCTATTTTTCAAATCAAAAATTTCAAGATCACAAGATAATTACGACACTTTTCCGAAGATTTTTCAACTCAAGTTGACCAGTTATTTCTGTTTTAGGGATATTCTTTATACTTTTTCAAAGTACAACATGATTAATAGATATATTCGATATTCGATATTCGGAGTATTTGCCATTTTACAGTATTCCTAATCTGTAAAACACTTAAAATAAATGAATCTTAATATTTACAATTTCTTTAACAACGGTCACTTAACATTAGATGAATAAATTTTATTTTTATACTTTGAAGACCTTTATCCTGTCATAGTTTTTGACGAAAATATGTAAATGATTGAAAAACTCTTTTAAATTTTGTTCAGATTAATAAAATATTAAAAGAATGTTTGTAAACAAGTTTATAAGCATTTCAAAATGTTAAACAAAACAATTTTCAACTTAGATTTAATGGCAAATCTTTTTCTGAAGTAGAATTCCTTTTCTAAAATACAAAAAGAACATTTTTAGGTCCATAAAATATCAAATTACGTTTTTAAATAAACTTAGAACGGTTCTAAATATTCTATAAGATAATTTTCTACTCGGATGCTTTTTCTGAAGTAGAATTTCTGTTCTAAAACAATGAAACAGCATGTTTAAGTCCATTAAACATTAAAAATTCGCTTAAATAAGCTTAAATGCATTTGAAATATTTAATAAAATGATTTTCTAACCAAATTCTTCTTCTAAATTACAATTTCATCTCTAAAATACAAAACCAAGTCTCTAATTTATTTGAAAAATTCGAAAAACAATTTCCAAGATTTTTTGCAATTAATACTACAGATTAATAAAAACATACTAACGGTTTAGTTTCATTACATGTATTTCTTACTGAATATCTGGTATTTACTGTAAGGTTGTGCCACAGGGAATCCCAATGGAGTAATACATTCTACATTTTCACAACAAACAATGGATATTGCACATTCAACTCTGCATCAGGTAGTTTATAATTAATTAATAAATAGTTAATAATATTGACAGAGATTTGATAAACATAGTATTTCCCCTAACTCTTTCTAACTTTCTAATGCTTTGCATTAACATTTTTTGTATTTAAAAACCACTATATTCTTATAGTAATTACATTTAAAATTTAACCATAATTTCATCTACTTCCGTCTGTGCTACTGCTTTCCCATCACCAGTATTCTTTTCCTTATTAAAATTCTTCAGTTTTCTGTTTGTGTTTGTCAATGTTCCTGTTTCGTTTACCTCTAATTGTACACGTATTTATATAATCACAATCATACTTCAATCAAAAATTACATTTCCAAATCTGAAATAAATCCCTTTTCTATCCAAGGTTTTCTAAAGCCAACACAGAAATGTAATTGCTCTGAATAAAAAACATGTTTCTAGCCTAGGTATCGCAATTTTAGACAGTCTCGTTAACGAGAGTGCCTTTTTTTCGTTGGTGACGCCTAGCGATGTTAATTAATTTTGAAAAATTCATTCGTGTGCAGGGAAATGAATGCCTCGCTTTTATGGTACGACCGATTGTTCCTTTTATTCTTGTTTGTCAAAAACCGCGATCCAATTGAAACGGTCCGCACACGCGCAGGCGCAAGCATTTGCGCGTTCCCATGTACTTGATAATATCGTGACAACAGCGTCGACAAAAAGGGCGCGAACTAATTGTTTATAATGATGTCAATATCCACTGCCCGACGAGGAACCATACGAAATCATCACCCGGAATGAACAATTGTACAGCGATCCGAATAATGCATTCATTCGCGCGAAACAAGGTTTGCTGTTCGAACTGTTTGTACAAATTTTGATAGCGAATCGTCGACGGCGTTATCGAAACGTAATGACACTTATTTACAGGGACCCTAACCGTTATAATGGAAAGAATCGTAGGATGATAATTATCTGATAAATTAACATTTTTTCATTTTACTACGAACAACGATTGTAAACGATCGGGGAAAAAATTTGTTCGTGAAAATCGTCACTATCGAGATATTGTTGGAAAAAACTTATTAGTCCTTGCTTGTTTATTCGTAACAATTTCTGTACTATGATTCTACGAAAATTATTTTACATTGACACTTTGTAGAACCGATCCTATAGATAATAGTAAATTATAGGAAATAGTCTTCCTTCGTCGATGGCAGTGTCTTGCCTGTATTTATTAACGCATGATCGATATGCGTGTATATCCACAAATGTAGAAAGTACGCAAGTATACGGATTTTATAACGTCCCAGTGTATTTCACTTCGACAATCCCCGCATTCTAAATTTACCTTTTTTCTTCGCGCGTGCTAATTACGCGACGTCGGTGTTTTGTACCGGTGTTATTGCACGTTTGCATAATGAGCAATTATATAGCTCTCTCGTTACATACTTAACGTGGAGAGTAACCTCGTACTGTTGCAGTTTATTCGAAAACTGATGAAATTATAAATATACATAAAATTTCTGGAAATATGAACATAATTGAATAATATTGAACAAGGTTCTCAAATAGTGGTATAAGAGTGGTCCATGTAAAAGTAATCATTTAAATATCACACTCGTTAATTGTAAGGATATTAGTTTTGCAAATAAGTTATAATTCAAGAGGGGGAAGATATTTAAAAACACTGATATTAAGAAATAGAATAAAATTTCAAGTAATACATAAATAATTGAATAATATTGAAAAAGGTTTCCAAATTAGTACTAATATAAAGAGTGGTCCATCTAAATGAAAATATCTAAATATCTCCCTCGTTAATTGTAACGATATTTTTGCAAATAAATTGTAATTAAAGGGAGGGGGGCAAGATACTTAAGAAAACTGATATTAAAAAACAGAATAAAATTTCTATTAATATATAAATAATTGAATAATATTGAAAAAGGTTTCCAAATTAGTACTAATATAATGAGTGGTCCATCTAAATGAAATCATCTAAATATCACCTTCGTTAATTGTAAGGATAATAGTTTTGCAAATAAATTGTAATTCGAGGGAGGGGGGAAGATATTTAAGAAAACTGATATTAAAAAATAGAATAAAATTTATATTAATATATAAATAACTGAATAATATTGAAAAAGGTTCCCAAATTAGTACTAATATAAAGAGTGGTCCATCTAAATGAAAATATCTAAATATCTCCCTCGTTAATTGTAACGATATTTTTGCAAATAAATTGTAATTAAAGGCATGGGGGAAGGGATTTAAGAAAA